CCGCACTCTACCGAGTGAGCCACGGGCCGGCCTCCACATGAGTTTTGGAGGGGACAACACATCCAAACTCCATCAACTACCTTGAACTTTCTGAAATCATTCTCATGTTTTCCTTTAAAGTTTTACTACCTCCTTATGACTTGTTCAGGTATGCATGTTGTTAAACTTTATGAAAGCATAATCATGTTCTATGTATTCTTTTGTGTTTTGCATGTTTTGCTCAACACTGTGGTTTTTAAAATTGTGATAAGAAACACATAACACCAGAGCTATGCACTTAACACATTTTTAAGTACCCATGACAGTAATGTCAACTATGGGAACAATGTCGTACAGCAGATCTCTAGAATTTTTTCATCTTGCATGACTGTAACGTTATACCCATTGAACAGCAACTCCCCATTTTCCCTCCCCCCAGCCCCTGGATACCACCATTCTACTTTCTGCTTCTATGAGTACTACTTTAGACACCTCTCATGTAAGTGGAATCATGCAGTATTTGTCCTTCTGTGACCAGCTTATTTTGCTTGGTATAATGTCCTCCAGATTTATACATGTTTTAGCATATGACAGGATTTTCTTCTCTTTTGTGGCTGAATAATATTCCATGGTATGTATATACCACATTTTCTTTATCCTTCAGTGAACATTTAGGTTGTTTCCACTTCTTGACTATTGTAAATACTGCTTCAATGAACATGGGAGTGTAAAGATCTCTTTGGGATCCTGATTTCAATCCTTTTGGATAAATATCCAGAAGTGGGATTGCTAGATCATCTGGTAGTTCTATTTTTAATTTTTTGAGGAACCTCCAAACTGTTTCCCAAAGTGGCTATAGCACTTTATGTTCTCACCAACAGTGTACAAGGGTTCCGATTTCTCCATATCCTCACCAATACTTTGCTATTTTCTGTTTTTTGTTTTTGATAATGGCCATCCTAACAGGTGTGAAGAGATATATCATTGTGGTTTTAAGTTGTATTTCCCTGATGATTAGAGACATTGAACATCTTTTCAGGTACCTGTTGGCCATTTGTATGTGTTTTTTTTGAGAAATGTCTTATCAAGTCCTTTGTCCATTTTTAATTTGGTTATTATATATTTTTTGCTACTGAGTTGTAGTATCTCTTTCTTTATTTTGGAAGTGAACTCCTTACCTGACATATGATTTACAAATATTTTTCCCATTTCATAGGTTTCCTTTATTACTAGATATTTTACATTATATTGTTTTAAAGATATTACATTTTTTCTAACTGATTTTTCTAGTTTCTAGAAATGCAGTTGACTTTTATATATTGTTTTTGTGTCAGCTAATCTTTAAAATAGTGTAACTATAATGAATATCTGTAGATCCTTTTGGGTTTCTATTAGATCATTGTATCATTTGCAAACAATGGCCTTTCTCTTGTCTTACTGCATTGGATAGAACCTTCAGCACATTGCTGAATAAACATGGTGGTAATATTTCTGATCTTTCAGAGAATGCCTTCGTTTTTTCACTATTAAGTATGATGTTTCCTGAAAGTTTATGTGTATTTTCTCATTAGTATGGTGTGACAAACAGGTAATCCAAAAGTGATCCTGAGAGCTTCCCTTGGTTGCCTGGGCAAAAACTCTCTGAGACCTAGTATCCATGCTTTTCCTGGTGAGAATCCCAGAACCTGAACCAACATTTTTATGGGACATGTTAGTTTACTCTCTGGGGAGGAGGAGCTGAGAATTCCCATGGGCCCAAAGTCTGTAGGTGTTAGAAAACTGCAACTCTTGTGAACAGCTGGCATCTTGAATCCAGACTGTCTTGGAGGCAAGCCCCATAAAGAGCTTTTCATATTCATATTACAAGAAGGTAGAATAGGAGGGAGAAAATGTTCCTGTTTTGCAATAATTCTCAAAAAGGGGCTATTTTGTCCCCAGGGAACTTGGCAATATTTGGAGACACTTTTGGTTGTCACAAGTAAGGCAGGTGTGCTTTTGACATCCAGTATCTAGTGGCTGTGGATGCTGCTAAATATCCGACAATGCACAGAATAACTCCCAACAACAAAGAATTATCTGTCTCTAAGTGTCAGTAGTCCTCAGGTTGAGAAACTCTACTGTCCTGCATCACTATGTATCTGTTAGCAATGCATGGCCTCAGAACACCTCGATGTGGGCTGATGGGAATACTGGGGTATCCAGTGCATAGGAATACTGATTCTTGGTTCATTGGTTTGCCTAATAAAGCCTATTTCTCAGCCCATGCTGTGCGACCTCGTGGAATTTATCTCATGCCCTGCTAAATCAGGTTAAGAAAGTTCCCTTACTTCTAGTCAGCTAAGAATGTTTTCCTGTGAAAGGATGTTGAATTTCACTGAATGCCTTTTCTGCATCAATTGAGATAAATATATGGATTTTCTCTTTAATGTGTTATTGTGTGAATTATATAATCAGATTTCTATGTTTGCTATTTTTCTGGGACATTGTTTATTAATATGCTTCAAGAAAGTAGAAAGCCTTGAACTAAGATGCTCCAGCCAAAACAGACAGGGAATGGAAGAGAAGATACACTTCTCCTAAACATGGAACGGAATAAAGTCTTAAAACTCATTGGGTTACAGAATTCCACCCACTAAAAATAATAGGGCTTATGGGAAAAATAGAGTTGAAGTAGAACTTACAAAACCTGTACACTTTCATAAGTAATACATCAGACAAACAAAGCCCACACCCAATACGAGCAGATCGATCCAAAAGTCACAGATTTTCATTTAGTTTTAAAAATATAATGCCATATTTATTTGCATTGTATTCATATTAACAAACACGTAACTCTTAATCAAAGGAAGTCCTAGGACTGGGAGGAGCATGGAAGAATTAGAGACCAATTAGATATCCAAGCCTGAGCCAATAGCAGCAGCGTCTCCTCAGGCCTAGTTAAGAAGGGGTTTCCACCTGGGGAGAGAAGAGAGAATCAGGGATATGGAAGGTGCACACCTCACAGGTGATATGGTTTTGTGTCCCAGGACCACTTGAATCCTGCTAGATCCCCCCAGGAGCACTAAGATGTGCTGCCAAAGAATCGGGAACTTTGGATCAGTTATTTTAGGCAAGCCATCCTAAAGAATTATGATCGCATAATCCCTTACTTCATGATTTAAATTCTATTAAGTGAAACAAGTCAGGCACAAAAAGAGAAATACCACACGTTCTCACTTATTTGTGGGAGCTAAAAATAAACAAACAAACAAACGCACAAACAAACATGGGGGGAAGAAGACACACACACAAAAAAACAAAAACAAAAACAAAAAACAAACAAAAAACCCAAACAACAACCAAAAACAAACAAACAAAAAAAAATGCGAAGAGAAAAGTGCTCCACCATTATAAATTGTTAAAAAACCCAGGCAACTGAAAGTAATGAAAATTCAATAATAATTGAGAAACCTAGAGATAACCTTGTCCAAATGTCCCCATTATAGAGAAGACATGTGACGTCCGAGATATGAGATAAACGGTGCGTTTCCTAAGGAAGGGGCCTGCTCGGCTTCTCTCTCTGCGTCCTGGAGACACGGCTCTGGGCCGGCGCCATCTCAAAAGCTCTGATGGCAGCGATTTCTCTCTTTTCTTTCTGGCGGCTGGCGGGTACGGGGATCCCAATCGCAAGGATTTCCACGGGCACAGACAGCTCTCAACCGTCGCTAGGACAACCGGTTCTCCAGGAAGGTTTCAGAGTCAGGGCCGGGCAGGGCGGCTCTGGGGCCACTCACCTCAGTCCAGCGTCGTCCAGGGCTCCACACAGTGGCGTCGACAGTAGAAGAAGCAGCACTTCTTGGCCCCCTGGCACCCTCTGTCGCTCCGGCACGCAGGTAATAGGGTGAACGGGCAGGAAAGAGGAAACTCTGGGCAGTAGCCAGGTTTCTGTGTAGCTGGGGGAGAAAAAAGTGGCTCAGGGTGAGTCGGGGGCACCGAGGCGTTGCTTCCAGGCATCAGGCCAGCTCGCTCCATGGCCTGCTCACAGGCAACGTTACCCTACCCCAAACACACCCAGGATCCCGACATTTTACCCGCAAGCCCCGGGACTCCAGGCTGGGCCATGTGAACGCAAAGCAGGACGGTCACAGTGAGTAGAGAGACGCTGCTCAGCTTCATGATGCAGGAAAAGAACGACGGTGCGGGTGGGACGTCAGCTCCGGAGGGGGCCCACCAGCAGGGGGAGCTGTGGCTCCCAGGGCAGGAAGAGACACTGAAATAACCTCTGGGGTATAACTTCTGAGATCCCTCAGGGACTGTCCTCTTTTCAGGGTGTTGCAGGGCTAGCCTGGTCCTTCATAATTCTTGCTTTATACAACGGATTTTGAAGCAATAGGAGGGAATTTATAGGGTATGTATCGGGTCTGACCAACTCTATTCTTCTCACTGTGTATCCAGAACAACTGAAACCACAGCCCTCCCAACAGTGTTCAGGTATGGCTACCTTTGAGGTGTTTACACATAAACATTTGAAACACACACACAGGCTCAAAGACAAAGCATGATAGTATCCTGTTACCCAGATAGTTTCTTGATTCATAGAAAATACCAATTCATTTTGCACTACAGGAACGTAAGTTTCAGTTGCATAATGAATGTTTTCTTCTTCAGTTTCTGCTTTTATATCTCCATGACTGCAAAAAATGTCATTTGCTGATAATGTCAAAAGGCTAATGAGGTCATTTTGGAATGAACCCCAGGCCAAATGACCATTCTGGTTTTCTCTGCACTCCTCTAAAAGTTGTTCCTACTTGCTTGGTGGCTGAGAACATATCTATAAGCAATGGTGGGAAGTAGCTTTATGAATGAGTACACCCTGGAGAATTGGTACTTGATGTAGAAGATAGAGAGACATTGAGGAAAAAGCTCTTTAGAGCAGAAGCTTTATCTACCAGCTCCTTCCTTTCTTTCTAAGCTTGTGATTACCTCTTGGTTTTGCATCTTTTCCCCATGCATCTGTGCTGTTCTCTTCTAGCTCTGGCTTGGCATGTCCTCACTGAGTTCCAGCCCAAATTTAGAAAAAAAGAAATTCTTTCTCATTGGTGTAACATACCAATAGCTTAATGTTTCTGCAGTGTTATTCTCAAGCTGTTTGTTTTCAGCCCCGCACACTGACTCAAGACCGCTCTATTTTCACAACAGTTTCATATTCACTGCAATTTTATGATACCAACATGATAAGGACATTACATGAAAGGAAAACTATATGCCAATCTTGCTACAAACATAAAGGCAAAAATCCTAAACAAAATATTACCCAGTGAATTTTGTCCTATATAAAAGTGGTGATACACCATGCACGAGTAGGATTTTATGTTAACAAGTTTGGCTTAACATTGCAAAGTAAGTAATTGGAATACTTCTACTTAGTAGAATAAATGGGGAAACCATATGGTTATCTCTATATCAGCAGAGAAAATAATGACACGGGATCAGAAGTTCAATTATTTAATTTGATAGCAAGCATCTACAAAATCCCTACAACACAGGGAAGCACTTTCAAAAGGGCGGAGTAATGTCTGCTGCTCCATAAAAACGATGAGAATACTAACAATTCTTGTCAAAATGAATTGTTTCAGAAATCTGGAACTTAACCAAAGTCTTGTTACAATCCATGAGTGCTTCCTGAAGAAAAAAATGGGTGAATCTTGGCAAGAACAGAGAGCTCTGTGGCAATTTAACTCGTCCTGTTCTCATATTCCTACCCAGCTGTGTGGTAGTCTTGAAAGTCAGTAGGCTTGCACAATAGTAGCTGTGAAAAGCAGCAGCCTAGCGGCCACTGCAGAGGAGGATTTCTTCCTCTTTCTGCTCTCAAAAGCTTCATCCCCAGAAAGTTGTCACCATTTCACCTGTATGGCAACTCCCTAAGAAAGCTCCTTTCTCAGAGTATGCATTTATCTCTCCTAACTCAGAGCTTGCTCTGTGTGGACAATGCTATCCCTGGGGGCAATTATTTGATGTCACAGCTATTTCAGAAAGTGAGAACAAGTGTAGCTAACAAGAAGCTGGCCAAAAAACACGAAAGGAAAAGGTGGAAAATAAGATGCCCAGGGGGTTTTGAAAAATCTCTGTCACATTTGTGGGAATCTAGAAGGCCATATGCGTGCAAAGTGTCGTGCTATGTCTAGTGCTGAGAGCACGCTGAGGAAGGACCTGACAAGGCCCTAATCGCTTACTCTGGCTGAATTTCAGGCTCCATGCAAGCAAGTAGTGCAGGTCAACATTGAGTTATAAACCGCCTGATGGGACATTGAAAATATGCCTCAACGCACACCCAGAGCCCCTTGTATCTTGGCAAGTATAAAAATAAAATTAAGGAAAAGTTAAGATGTTCCCAGATATACAAGAATGAGAGAGTTCATCACCATCAGACATGCCATACAAAAAATGCTAGCTAATATGATTTTATGTAGAAAACTCTTAAGAATCC